GTTGCCATGTTGACAAACCTTCCTCAAATGTATTGGCTTAAAACAGCCACCATTTATCTGCCTATAGTCTGGCAACATGGGCTGGGTTCTGCTGAGCAGGTCTTCTGTTGGACTTGCCTAAGGTCACTCATGTGGCTGCAGTCATCTGGAAGCTGACTGGGGCCAGGTAATCTAATATGACCCCACACATCTGGTGGTTGTTGGCCAGGGTACCTCAGTTCTCCATGGGGCTTGTCATCCTACGATAGGCTACACTGGATTTCTTTACGTGACGTTATAAGTGTTCTGAGAGGGCAGAGAGGTAGACTCTAGGAAGTCACACAGTGTTATTTCTACCACATTTATTAGCTAAAGCAAGTCATAAAGCCAGCCCAGATTCTAGGGATTGAAAAGTAGACTCTGAGCCGGGCTCGGTGGCTCAGCCTATAATCCCACACCTTGGGAGGCTGAGGTGAATGGATTGTCTGAGTCCGCGGGTTCGAGACCCGCCTGGGCAGCGAGACCTCATCTCTACAATAAATCAAAAAATCAGCCGGGCGTGGTAGCGCACGCCTGTAATTCCAGCTACTGGAAGGCTGAGGCGGAAGGATCGCCGGAGCCCAGCAGGTCGAGGCTGCGGTGGCCGGGAGCGGCCACTGCACTCCAGTCTGGGCGACGGAGTGAGACTCCAACTCAAAAAAAAAAAAAAAGAAAAGTAGACTCTACTTATTGCTGGGAGGAGCAGCAAAATCATTGCACAAAGTCATGTGGGACAGGAAGAAGTGTAGTGGGCATCTTTGCAAACAATCTGTCATGCTTATTAGAGGAATTATTTGTCATACCGAATCACCAAGAATCACCAAGAATTTGACAGAAGTGGGAGTGAAAAGATTGACAAGCCAGGTGTTAAAATCTTCAAAGCACAAGGGGATACTGAGTGATATACTCAGATGCCATCAGCTTGAAAAGCTTCAAATATCTTTATTGTTTAATCACGGAATTTCATCAATGAAAAAGAATTTTTCACGACTTCTTTGACTTAGTCTCTCATCAATTCAGATTCTATCCTACAGAAGGAGCCTAAAACATGGAAAAAAACTACATGTAGGAAAATGTGTGACACTACTATTTAACTGGGAGCTGTATCCTCAGGGCCTACGATGATGTCTGACACCTAGTAGTAGCATATGAGTACCCAATAAACATTTGTTTAATGAATTTATAACAACAAAAAAGTAAACACAACTAAGTAGCCAAAAATCAGTGCTAAGTTAAATAAGTTATAGTACATCTATTTAATAGACTATTACACAGCTGTTGCAAATTATGCTTTTGTGAACTATCAATATGTGGCATGAAGTAAAAAAAGGCAAATACAATAATTGTAGGTACATTATTATCATACCTGTGTAAAAAAATCTGGATAGGAAAAGGAGTCAGAACAATAATAATAGTGGTTTTATCAAGCTAGTAGGATCATAGGTGATTTTTTTCTTTCTTTCTTTTTTTTTTTTTTTGAGTTGGAGTCT